TTAAAAATCCTGATCTTTAGTTAAATATTTATTAAATAAACAAGGTAAAAGATTATTTTTTAATTTATTTTAAATAATAGGATAAACTTTTCGATTGTTAAAAGGGATTGAATAATATATCTGCATTTAGGAGTGTTTAGGGAATTTTATTCTAATATAGATCATTTAAGCAAATGACTTTTTTTTTTTGATCTTTTAAAAATAAATTATTGTGTTCCTTTCTTTTGGAAATGTTTTAATACTTATTTTTATTTTAAAAGCTATTAAATCCTCTTTAAAATTTTATAGAATCAATATGAATGAATTTTCATATCCATTATTTCTTCTATTGTTCATCCATTTTATTAAAGAGTTTGCTTTAAATTTTATTATTATTCTTATAAATTAATCATAACTTTAAGCAAATCTAATATTCAAACAAGAAGCTTTATTAAAGATCATTTTTACACTAATTTGATTAAAACTGTTGGATATATGAAATTAGGATTTTATAAATATTGTGGATTTTTATTAATAAATATATCCTAACATATAAACTTCAACTCATAAACTAAATAAAAATATCTTAAATAACATCAATATATGATGATTTAATTTCAAACTTAATTAAAACATGTTATGAATCAATTTTACCTCAAAAAGATATGATTATTAAATAATTATAAGATTAACCAAAATTACATAATATTAACAACAATAAAACCTGATGATTGTTTATTGAAAAATTTAATAGTAAGTATATAAGTTTATATGTTGCAAGGCTAGTACATGTGTCTAATAAAAATGATATTAAAAATTAAATATTCTTACTTTTTACAATATGTAATTTTTAATAATTTTAATTCTCTACACTTTCTTATTTATATTTCCTTTGATCCACTATCCAAAGTGATTCAATACTCTCCGTCATCACGTAATTATCCAAAAATACTATTATTATTAAACTCAATAGATTATCAAACTATTAAGTCATCATTTTCTTTCTTCCTCATTAAGTTAACATAATTGCCATTCTTATTCACTAGAAGCCCTTTTGACTTTAGGTATTATTATGGAAATAAACAAATATCAAAACATGAACCAAAATTTATAGCAATTTCCTTAGTCTTATTATACTATTTAGTATTACTATCCATCTCATACACATGCATTTATTATTTATAATAGAGCTAAAATGTAAATTAATTATCATTAATAAAACATAATCTAAATCCCAATTAATCTACTTTTAAACTTTATGTAACACTCTATTTTTTATCCAAATTTTACTACTCTATTACTAATATTTATGAATCATCTGAACAAGAAATCAATTTATTTTTTTGTTCATCCTAACTACCTGAGATTATTAGATCATCAGTATTGTTTAATTATAATTATGATCAATGAAAATAATATTATTTATTAGTATTATCCCAAAAGATGCTCATCTTATCAGAAAATCAAAACATTATGCTTCTAATAATTTTATTAAAATTTTTCTCAAATAGCAATTTTAACCAAATCAAATCAAGGCATGGTTAGAAAATTTATTCACAAACTAAGGGGCTTTGGTTTAGCACCATCCAATGTATCTGAGGTACTACTTTGAGCTCCTTCAAATCACTGCCTCATCAGCTTTAGTTCAAAGCTATTTCTCTTTTGGATCTCCAAGCGAACTCAATCCTTTGTTGTTCAGCTTTTTTGGCACTTCAATTATTTCTCAATATTTATATTAAAAATTTAATCTACAAGCTTAAATTCAAATTAATCTAATCTAATAATTATTTGATATTTATTACAAAATTATTACATAAATTTTTCTTTAAAAAAATTTATTTAAGTCTAATCTGCAAATAATGGTCATAGTAGGTTCTAGCAGTTCTAGAGGACAGAAGTTAGATTAATGGCTTGAGAAGTGGCTAAATAATCGATTTCTCCCTAATTATAGATTTAATAAGGGAACAGGAACTTACTAATTAAGAATATTTTCGATAGGCCTTTGAACTTGAATAATCTAACTAATAATTTTGTTTAGGATCTATAACTAGCTAACCCTTTAATATTAGACTTAAAGACCCTATATTAATAGTTATTTAATTTATGCAAGCTATTAAAGGAGTGGAAGGTAGATACATCCTCTATAGGGATGAGAATTCTTGGAAGGAAACCCCTCATTTTATATCATGATATTAATTTTCGAGAACAAAAAGCCTCCTATAAAAAATTAAGAGGATTTGAAGGTTCTTGGTATTTTTTATAAAGATTTTAATATATTCAAAATAATTTAAATCCTGGATTTAAATAAAATAACTGGATAAATATAATAAGAAAATATAATTACTTGAATAAACCTTTGTGTAATAAGCGAGTGAGATTTAATATTCCCCTATTTCATCTGATGATGGCCTTTGGTGGGTTGATGTACCTAATTCTGTAATTGAGGAAAAATTTGTAAATTTAATAATATAATCTGGTATAATATTTTGCCATTTTTTTATACAAATTTGTAATAAGTACCTCTCAATTTGAATCATTTCAAAATTTATTTCATCAACCATTTCTTTTAATTATTTTAACAGGATAGACTATTAGTGCAACTCTCCTTAATCTTAATCAAAATATAGAGTGTAAGAAAATAGTTTTGGGTAACTATGTTAAAATTGTAATATCAGAAAATTCTAAATATATAGACAAATAGATTTATAAATCCAAATGTTAAAGATATTCTTAATATAAATTGGTATCAATAAGTGAATTTTGGTAAAAGAAGTTTCTAATCTTCTGAATTTAAATTAATATTCAAATTCATGGTGAATTATGAAAAATAAATACTTTTTTTGTATAGATTGAAAATCTTTTATCTATTTTTTAAGATTAATGTTAAATTAGGATAGGAGTAACAAGATCAATAAAAAACAGCCATAACCAGATAAATAAGAAATTTTGAATTCGTAATGAAAGTATTATCTAAATTACCATCTAAAATTCATTTGAACAAATATAGCAACAATCATATGAATCACTTCTAGTATTAAAAGACACTATTAAAATATTTATTTCTACTTAAGGGGCAATTTGATATTGCTTATATATTAATGTATAAGTATATTTCATTTAATATTTTATAACAATAAATATAAACTAATATATTAATCAAAAATTCAGATTTTAATTTAAGTAGAATTCTAATCCAAAAATCAAATTATAAATTTCATTGTTAGTTTATATTTTGTATTAATAATTTATCATCATTAGCTCTAAATTAAAAAAAAATATACCAAAATATTTATTTTCGATTATAATTCACTATAGATATTCCAACAAAATAATAATTGATCAATTAATAAAGAAAATTGATTATAATTATTTTGCACTCAGAATAAACAAAGAGATATAAAGGTACAAAATTATCTCTTTTAAAGGGTTTGGGTTTGGGTTTGGGTTTGGGTTTGGGTTTGGGTTTGGGTTTGGGTTTGGGGTTGGG